GGTACTTTTCCTGAAAGTGGGGTGAGGAAGGTGGGCACCGAGCTGGCTGGGTTTAAAGGGTTGGTGGTACAGAAAGCAGAGAGGCGGGTTGCCTGGGTGGCTCAATTCGTTATGTGGCTGGCTCTTGGTTTTGGTTCAGGATTAGGCTCTCATGGCTTGTGGGTTCAAGTCCCACATCGGGCTCTGTGCTGACAGCACAGAGCCTGCTTGGGATTCTTTCTCTCCCTCTCTGCCCCTTACGCATATGTGCGCGCTCTCTCTCACAATAAGTAAACATTTAAAAACAAAACAAATAAAATAAAAAGAAAGCAGAGATGCTTCTGGCAGAGGCAACTGTGGGCCTGATGGCATGGCCCATGCTGGGAACACCTGGCTGCTGCAGGGGGAGTGGGGGGTGGTGTTCAGGAAGGAGAAGGGGGAGAAAAGACTCCAGAGGCTGCTCGGGTCCTGGCGGCCAGGGTGCCGCCTTGGCTGTTCTGTTGGTTGCTGGGGTGTCATGGGGTTTGAGCAGGGAGGGCTGTGGCCAGAGTTGTGACTCAGGAAGATTAACCCAGCAGCAGGACCCAGGGGACCTGGGAGGGGACAAGCTTAGGAGACCCAGAGGCAGGAATATGGGCTCTAATGGCTGAGGCAGTGACACAGGTGAGCTCACACAACTGGGCATTCCGGCTGAGGCTTCCCTTCTTCCTCTGAAGGGCCACTCAGCATAAATAAGACAGATTTGGAAAGCATTTTGTCAGGTGTGGATGTTTAAGGCAAGCCTCAGTCATCTGGCGAATCCACTTAGGTGAAACAGGTCCTTTCCAGGCACGCTGCAGGGCAAGATGCTCCTGCAGGGCCTCCTAGTTTCTTGCATCAGGGACCATCCCAGCTTCCAGAGAGAGCACCCTGGGGCTTGGGAGGCTGGGGAGGGAGCTCCCACTGACGTGCAGACAGCATCCCCAGCGGGGGAAGGCTTCAGGAACCGCATAGTATAACAAAGCACGAGTGAACCCCGAGAGGAGCCATATGAAAATTGGGCCTCCTGACTGCCTTGTTGAGCAATGTCCTCCAAGACGGTGGAAGGCCCCTCTCTCTCATTCCCACCCCTGAGATGGTCACCTCATAGAAAGCCATTCTGCTGGTACCCCACCATCCCGTCCTGTGATCCAGGACGGTGCCCACGGAGCCCAGAGGAGCTGCTGGAGGGGCCTCAGGGGGTTGGGACGAAGGTATATTGGGGTGTGGAAGCTAATGAGTCTCTTCTCCAAATGCTTTAAAACCTTGACAGTGTTCCTGTCGTGGATCACATTGCTTTATTCAGGGCCGCTGCACGTATGTGTGGGAGTAAACACAGCGAGGGGGCCGTGGCCACACTCGCTGCTGTTTGGAGCAGGAGAGTCCGAATCCACCCCACACAGAAGCAGCTCCGACTAGTGACAGGGGCCTCCTCTGGAGGGCCTCCTGCCAGCTCCATCCAGAGCACACCACCCACCTCTTCATGAAGTCTCCCTGACTTTACAGAGAAGCTACAAAACCTGTCTGAGGTCGAGTGGTGGGTCAGCGGTAGGGTTCTTAATCACCAGGGTGGACTGAAGAGCACTTTCGGGCCTTCTTCTGGGCCACTTCTGGGTGGCCCTCCCCCAGGCCCGCCCCCCTGTTTCGGGGCCCTGCGACAGCCCGCCATCGTGTGAGGCTGGGATCTCAGGGCCCGCCCCGTGCTACCACTGGCAGTTCCTCGTTGCCAAGGGACAGCCCTCCACCTGTCGTGTAACATCGGTGCAGTGGGGCACAGTGCCGGGGCTGTTTCTCAAGTGCCTACTTACGTGGCTGCCTCCTGGGCCTGCGGCCATAATTACCCCTGCCTGGCTGCCCCTCCAGAGGGACTCGGGTGGAACCCCCAAGGAGACCCCACACTTCACATTGGAGTAGACTTATATGCAGAAGTTCATCTTTCCTCGTGGACTCCTTTGGCCTGTTTTGAAAATATCTCTATTCATAAGCAATTGGCCAAAGACATAGAGGGCTGTCTGATCTGTTTTTCAGCTGTCTTCACTGCGGTTTGCCAGCAGGATGAAGCTGGTCACCACTGAGCCTGCCGTCAACGAAAAGTATGATGCTGAGGTAGTAAGGGGTTTGTGGGCAGATGTCTCACCGTGGAGGTGTGTGGGTTTGTTGCCTGGGTCACACAAGCCTGGCTTCCCTTCCTGCCTCAATGCGATCCCGGGTCAGTCCCTTTCCACTCTGGGACAGGCCAGAGTCTTCAGAGCCCCTGGAGACCCCCCCACTTGGGGGCCACCGCACAGGTGAAAGGACCAGGTCAGGTCCCCACCCAGTTCATGTGTGAGGCCTCAGGGCCTCTGACTACCCTGGGCTTCTATATGAGAGTTCCTTAGAGCTGTTTCAGAGTTCAGTCAGTGTGGACCATCTCTCAGACTCCTCTGGTTATAACGCTACGGAACCTCTTTGCTGCCGACGTGTGTGATCCCTCTCAGCAAGCACAGCTGACCGATCAGAAGGAGCGCTCAGCACCACCACCAGGGAGGTGTAGGTTGAAACCTTAGTGAAAGTCCACCCTCAGACTAGCAAAAATTAGCACGTTTCCACAATGCAGAGTGGTGGCGAGAATGTGCAGAAACGAGAGCCTTTGTCTGTTCCTGGCCAGAGCATAATCTATTAAATTGCTTTCGAGAGCATCCTGGCAACTTCTTGTAAAGTAAAAACTCATTTACCTCATTTTCCTTCAGGATGCTTGTGGAATCATGGTTACCAGAGACAGGAGCGTGTACCTGCCCTGAGCTCATGACAAAGTAGTTAAACCTTCCAGATTCCAAATCCTAAAGGAAAATAGTGGTCCCCGTGGCTCTGTGTAACTAACCCATGGTTTGGAGGTTGAGGAGGGGGGTGGGTTAGAGCAGTGGCTCTCAGACCCTGGTAGCAGAACCCCAGGCCGGCTTCTTTTTTTTTTTTTTTTTAATGTTTGTTTGTTTGTATGTTTGTTTTGAGAGAGAGAATGTGAGGGGGCGACAGGCAGAGAGAGAGGTGAGAAAGAATCCCAAGCAGGCTCCACACCATCAGAGCAGAGCCCCACACAGGGCTTCATCTCAGGAACTGTGAGATCGTGACCTGAGCAGAAACCTGGAGCCTGTCGCTTAATCGCCTGAGCCACCCAGGAGCCCCTCCAGGCAGGCTTCTGGAACCGCAGGTCACTGAACCTATTCAAAGTTCCTGATTCCATTGGCCAAAGGGTGAGGCCTAAGGATTCACGTTTCTAATAAGTTTCCAGATGCTGCTGCTGCTGCTGCTCTTCCGGGGCCACACTCAAGAACCACTGGCACAGTAGTTAAGAGCCATGACCCCCACATTGGGGGTTCAGCAACCTGCTCTTTCCTTCCATCAGCTGTACAGCCTCAGCAGGATACTTATTCTTAGTAAGCCACCATTTCTTCAATAGTAAATTGGGGGAGTGGCAGAATCCACTCTCTAAGAGAGGCTGTGGAGAATCATACAATGGGGAGAAACCTCTTCCCACAGTGCTGTCGTGGAGTGAATGCTCAGTAAATGTTAGCTAGCGCGCTGCTCGCTGTATGGGTCAGCAGTGTTCCCTTTCCCGGTGGACAGTCTGGAGGCATTCCCCACATATGTATGTGAAGAGCCTCGAGGCAGAACGGTGCCTGTGCTGCTCATTGTACTAGTGAGCAGCTGGGCACGGGACCGCTAGCCCTTCACCAGAGAGGAGCTGAGTGAGTCAGGGACGGAGAGAGCCAGGGCTCGAGCCGCCAGCTGGATAATCTCAAGCGGATTGAAGCGGGCCAAATGGTAGCATCTGTCTAAACACATGTGAAGCATAGCTGAATATCGTTCATCGATACATGTGTGTGCATTAAAAAAAAGCAACAACAACAAAACACAGGGGCGAAAAGACCAACCTGAGGCTGGGGGTTCCCTCTGGGATGTCGGGGGGGGGGGGCGGTGGACTTGGAGAGAGGTACATAGGGGCTGCATATTTGTCTGCAGTGTTTTACTTCTTTAAAAAGGTGGGTGGGGGGGCACCTGGGTGCCTCAGTCGGTTAAGTGTCTGACTCTTGATCTAAGCTCAGGTCTTGATCTCAAAGGCTGTGAGTTCAAACCCTGCAATGGGCTCCATGCTGGGTGCGAAGCCTACTTAAAAAATGAACATTTTTTTTAATTAAAAAAATTTAAGGGGCGCCTGGGTGGCTCAGTTGGTTAAGTGTTCGACTTCAGCTCAGGCCATGATCTCGCAGTCTGTGAGTTCGAGCCCCGCGTCAGGCTCTGTGCTGACAGCTCGGAGCCTGGAGCCTGCTTCGGATTCTATGCCTCCCTCTCTCTCTGTCCTTCCCCTGCTCATGCTCTGTCTCTCTCTGTCTCAAAAATAAATAAAAACATTAAAAAAATTTTTTTTAATTAAAAAAGAGCTTATCGGGCTCTGCACTGATAGGGCAGAACCTGCTTGGGATTTTCTCTCTCTCCCTTTCTCTCTGTCCCTCATGCTCTCTTTCTCTCTCTCTCTCTCAAGATAAGTAAACTTAAAAAATGATAAGCATTTATAAGCATGAGTTCTTGAGAGAGGCATGGAAAATTACCTGGGCTGCCGACTTCCATAGACCACAGCCAGTCTGCCTGTGTTATTTCTAGCGCCCTCTTCAGTATAGATGCCTGTTTTCTGGACCATGGGGTAGCTTCTGTGGAATTGCCTCAAGTTTTCACCTATGGACTAGGAGGCTGGACTGATGACCTCCAGGTGACCCTCGTACTCTGTCAGTCTGTGATTCTGTGAGGTGGTGTAAAGGTTGTGAGCCTTGGGTGTAAACAGGCAGCAGACAAACACTTGATATTCTGCTCTGCTGAGAGAAGATCATACCTGCAGGCTGCAGTGGGGTCAACCAGGGAAGTTTCCCGAGTGGAGAGGTGCTCCTAGCCTGGTGTGCTACTTAAACAGAAGGCGCTGAATTATCCTCATTATGTTTATGATGAAAACCCCTGACCGTCAGGGAACTTACTTGAGTCTGTGCTGTTTCCAAGGCATTAGTTCCATCCAGAAAATGTCCCTGATCTTTAAAGGCAGTGGTCAGGTTCGTGTTCCATCTGAGATACAAAAAAAAAAAAGGAGTTGGTCAGCCAGGAGGTGCTGCCAAGCCCTGTTCTGTGGGGTCTGGTGCTCCAGCCCTGTGTTTCCAAGCAGCTTCTTTCCATTCGGTATAGGAGGGTGAGTCTGCCAGGCATGAGGAGAAGCACCTATGGTCTCAGGATGTGACATGGAGGCTGGTTACAGGGGGAGCCAATGACCCATTTCCTCACATCACCTGATTCGCCCAGAGATCTAAGCCTGGCTCCCCATGCCACACTGGACAGTCATCCAGCTGGAGGCCCTCAACAGCCCGACTTTCCCTAGCGGCGGCATGATGTATTTTTTAGAACTGAGATCTCTCAGCTGAGGGGAGGGGCTTGGCCACCAAGCCTCTCCCGTTGACCTCATAGGAAGTCTACCTGAAGGAGAACCTCTTGGGGCTTCCCAGAGGGGCAGAGCCGGGATTTGGACCCTGGTCATGTGCTTTGAGTCTTAGGCTTTGTGCCCTGAATTGCCACAAAGACACCAGAATGCCAGGGTTCTGTCACCTCTCGCTGCAGACTGATCACAGCCCTGGTCACCAGTACCAGGATCCGGTTGTCAGGGGCTCCCTCCAGTGGCCATTTTTTGACAACTGAAGAACGCCCTGTTGTTCACAGAGAAGGTTCTCAGCATAAAATCCCTTGTGCCTCTCATTTGAAAGACAACAGGACAGTATCCATCAAATGTAAAATGACTCAGCAATTCTGTTTCTAGAAATATGTCATTTATCCATTCACCTAAAATCTATAGAGCACTTACCATGTGCCAGGCACTTTTTGAAGCACCTGGAGTGTGTTAATATACAAAAAACACAAATCTGTATCCTCAAAGAGCTGACTACTGGGGGTGGGAGAGAGAGATACGATAAATATAAGAAATAAATGAGCCTGGCTGGCTTAGTCGGGAGAGCATATAATTCTATTAAAAAAAATTTTTTTTTATTAGTTTTCTTTATTTCTGAGAGGCAGAGAGAGGCAGAGCGTGTGGGGGGGGGGAGGGGCAGAGAGAGAGGGAGACACAGAATTGGAAGCAGGCTCCAGGCTCTGAGCTGTCAGCACAGAGCCCGATGCGGGGCCCGAACTCACCAACTTTGAGATCATGACCTGAGCTGAAGTCGGACGTTCAACTGACTAAGCCACCCAGGAGCCCCAGGGAGAGCATGTAATTCTTACTCTCGGATTTGTGAGTTTGAGCCCCAGATTCGGTGTAGAGATTACTTAAATAAATAAACTTAAAAAAATATAAAAGAAGTGAATCTAGATCCTGCCATTTGCAACAACATTGATGAACTTAGAAGACATTATTCCAAGTGAAATAAACCAGATACAGAAGGAAAAATACTGCAAGATCTCACTTACATGTGGAACCTAAAAAGTCAAATTCACAGAAACAGGGAGTAGAGTGGTGGTTACCAAGAGTGGGGGTAGGGGCTGAGGAAAGGGGAAATGTTGGTCAAAGTACACAAATTTTCATTTATAGGATGGATAAGTTCTGGGGATCTTATCTTATCCCCAGTTCAGTACAGCATGGTGACCATAGTTAATAATACCATATTGTAGGGGTACCTGGGTGGCTCAGTCGGTTGAGCATCCGACTTCAGCTCAGGTCATGATCTTGCACTCTGTGAATTCAAGCCCCACATTGAGCTCTGTGCTGACAGCTCAGAGCCTGGAGCCTGCTTCGGATTCTGTATCTCCCCCTCTCTCTGCCCCTCCCTTGCTCGTGCTTTGTCTCTCTCTCTCAAAAATAAACATTAAACATTTTTCAAAAAATAATACCGTATTGTATACTGTATTTAAAAAATGCTTTATTGCTCAAAAATGCTAACCATCATCTGAGCTTTGCTGGGAAAGTAGATGTCAGATGCTCTTAACCACACACAAAAAATTGTCCCTAGGTGAGGAGATAGATATGTTAGCTAACTTGACTATAGTAATCATTTTACTGTGTATGTGTATATCATGTTGTACACCTCAAATATTCAGGCATACCTCCAGAGATATTGTGGGTTCAGTTCTAGACCACTATAATATAGTGAATATCACAATAAAGCAAGTCAAATGAGTTTTGTGGTTTCCCAGTGCCTGTGAAAGTTACTTTTATGCTATACAGTAGTCTGGGGCGGGGCAAAGAGAGACAGGGAGAGAGAATCCCATGCAGCCTCTGGAACTGTCAGCATGGAGTCTGATGCAGGGCTCAATCTCACAAACTGTGATATCATGACCTGAGTTGAAATCAAGTGTTGGATGCTTAACTGATTGAGCTACCCAGGCACCCCTATACTGTAGTCTGTGAAGTGTGCAATAGCATTATGTCTAAAAAAAACAATGCACCTACCTGAATTTAAAAATACTTTATTGCTGGGACACCTGGGTGGCTCAGTCAGTTCAGTGTCTGACTCTTGATCTCAGCTGAGGTCTTGATCTCAGGGTCATGAATTCAAGCCCTGTGTCGGGCTCCATGCTGGGCATGGAGCCTACTTCACCCCAAGTCTGAGCTTTCAGTGACTCATAATCCCTGATCACAGATAATATAACAAATAAAATAATAATGAAAAATTTGAAATACTGCAGAAGTTACCAAATGTAACACAGAGACAGGAAGTGAGCAAATGTTGTGGAAAAATAGTGCCGATAGACTTGCCTGATTCAGGGTTGCCACAAATCTTCAATCTATAAAAAACAGTATCTGAGAAGCTCAGTAAAGCAAAGAACAATGAAATGAGGTATGCGTGCCTACAATTTTTCTTTAAAAAATGTTTAAAGGGGTGCCTGGGTGGCTCAGTTGGTTGAGCATCTGACTCTCGATTTCAGCTCAGGTTATGATCTCATGGTTTGTGAGTTGGAGCCCCACATTGCGCTCTGCACTGACAGTGTGGAGCCTGCTTGGGATTCTCTCTCTTCCTCTCTCTCTCCCCCTGCTCTCTCTCTCTCTCAAAATAAATAAATATATTTAAAAACAAGTTAAAAAAGGGACGCCTGGGTGGCTCAGTCGGTTAAATGTCCAACTTCAGCTCAGGTCACGATCTCACGGTCCGTGAATTCGAGCCCCACGTCGGGCTCTGTGCTGCCAGCTCAGAGCCTGGAGCCCGTTTCAGATTCTGTGTTTCCCTCTCTCTCTGCCCCTCCCCTGTTCATGCTCTGTCTCTCTCTGTCTCAAAAATAAATAAACGTTAATAAATAAATAAATAAATAAATAAATAAATAAAAATTAAAAAATAAAAATATTAAAAAAAAAAAAAGAAATAGGTAAGTTCTAGAGCTCCACCATCCAGTATAGTAGCTGCTACTCGCTTGGGGTTATTTAAATTAGTTACATAAAATTAAAAGTTCACTTCCTTGGTCACCCTAATGACATTTCCAGGGTTCAGTAGCTACGTGTAACTCAGGGCCCAGATATAGAACATTTCCATCATTACAGGAAGTACTGTCAAACAGCACTGCTCTAGGGTGTGTTGGTGATAGGTGCTATAAAAAAAATTAGAGCAAGATTTGAAAAAAGAGTGGTGTGGGAGTGGGGAGTGTGTAAAACTGACGTTTTACATCGAGTGATTGAAATGTGCCTAATTTAGAAGCTTTTGAACAAAGACTTGAAGGAGGTGTGGGGGTGTGCCAGGGCAACACCTGGGAGAAGAGTGTCCTGGGCAGAGGGGACAGGCAGTGCAGAGGCGGGAGTGTGCCAATTTGGTAGGAGTGGAATGAGCTTGGAGGAGAACGGTAGGGAAGAGTTAATGGGGGCAGATCACAAAGAGCCTGTGTTATCCTACAGAAACCTATAAAGACACAAAGATGTAAGTACAAAAATGTTGTGCAGCCTTGTTTGTAACAGCAAAACTTTGGAGGTGACATACATGATTATCAGCAGGGAATGTGACATGTTTTTGTGCAGTGGTTGGGAAGGATGAGGGTAAAAGGTACGACTGCGTGGAGAGCCTCCTGGAGGCAGCGGGCTGCAATGAGAAGGCCTTCACCCGGTAGACTGGAAATAACCCGAAGTTCCTGGAAGTTGAGGTGTGAGGTTGCCCTGTGGGTGCCTGTGCTCACTCTTGTTAAATCTCCTCTGTCTGCTGAAAGAAGCAGAGGCCAGAGGACTTGTGAGGCCCCCGAAGGCCCTAAACTCACCCCAGTTGGGAAGGAGTCACTGGCGGGGAAGGAATTGTCCAGATGCTGAGATCACACTCCATGGATTACCAGGAGGGGCCAGGATGTCCGGCCACAGGTTGGGGAACTGTGGGCTTGATGTGGAAGAGGCAGAGTGGCCTCTCTGACTGTCCTCCCTGCCCCGTCCCAAACTGTGTTTCCCTGGCAGCGAATGGTCAAGAACCTGGAGAAGGAGCTGGCACTGCTCAAGCAGGAGCTGGCCATCCACGACAGCCTGGTAAGGGGCTGGAGGCGGGTGGCTGGGTGAGGGGCTGGCCGGAGTGCTGGAGGGACTACGGTCACAGTACCAGGTGGGCAGAGGGACTGGATGGACAGGCCCCAGGAGGGCCAAGTAGGCAGGGAGACTTTGGGGTCAGAGGGGCTAAGGAGCCAGGGATGCCTGGTGGGCAGGGAAATTGGAAGAGCAGGAGGATGTGGGCAGGGGTGTCAGATATCAGGGAGCAGAGGCAGACAGTTGGCAGGAAGATGAGGGGCAGGGGGCCAGGTGCCAGGCAGGTAGGGCAGGGATAGATAGCATGATGGTCAAGGTCAGAGGAGGTGGGGCATACTGGGCAGCGGGGGAGGGGCAGCAGCATAGAGCCCTGAGGGCAGAGGGTGGGGACAGGAGACCTCTGGTGGCTTGCCTGGGCCTGCTCATGGGTGGGGGGGGGGGGTGTCTCAAGGCAGAGGCAGCCACCTCCTGCCCATGGCTGTCATCCTAGAGTCTCCTGAGACTCAGCCAGCAGAGCCCTTTGCTTGGAGTGGCAAGCTCATGACAGGTGGCTTTCCTTCCCTCCAAGACCCAGTTGTCCCTCTGTGACCCGAGCACCTGGCCA